CTACAGGGTGGTCGAGTTTACCAATTTAATCGAAATTAAACGACCTCATGCATTTATTTTTATGATATTTAGTATGTTATAAAAATATCCCTAGACTTTTCCGATGTGTGTATTTACAAGTAGTACAAGTTTTTCACAGAAGGTCGTGAAGATGTGACTGACGACGCTCTCTCTGGAAAACCAAGCACATCAACAACAGACGAAAATGTTGAGAAAATTAAGAAATTATCATGGAGAATCGTCGAATCACTATTAGAGAAGTTTCTGAAGATATCGGCATGTTGGTTGGCTCATGCCATGCAATTTCATCACAATACCGGACGTTTTGAAAAATGGGAGATACAACTTCCTATGTTCTTGTTTCCACTTGTATTTGTAACTGATGTTACTGCATTTTGTCTTTTAACGGAATTTTTAAACGGATACATTGAACTCCTTGTTCTTATTGCTTCTCACAAGCGGAGCATTTCCAGGATAATACTTTTTATTGACCGTACGCCCATGTTGCAAGAACTCCTGATGCACTACTCCACGGTAATCGAAGAAAACAGTGAGCAAAATCTTGACAATATAATGTTATCCAATTTGGTACTGAAGAGCCTTAGGGCAAGTGTCTTAAGGCGAAATATCGATGTATACCAGTGAGGATGACAGTGTTCCATGTAAGTGCAATTTGTTACAATTCATTTGAAGTAGAACTCATGTGAATGATATCTGATTTTTATTCCACAACGAATGTTTGAAATGCGAACTGAGTAGAGAAAAGTATCTTCTGTATAATTCAGTGTTCATATAGAAGTATTTGTTTCGAAAGAATTTTTCCTTTCGTGTAATTCAATGTTGATACATTGCATGATCTACACATCCATGTATAGAGTTACTCATTTTCAAATTGATTACTTCCTTCCTTCCTTTGAAAGATTCCCTCATCCTTTTTTTTGTATCAAGATGGAGTAGTAGAAAGCCAAAATCTTCACGACCTTCTGTGAAAAGCTTGACTCAGAGTACAATCACCGTATGCCACTGTCAAGATCTCAAGTGTTTTTTTTGGCACCCAAAATGTTTATCTCTTTGATTGACGACTTGTTTATTTTATGGAAAATGATGTTCACTGAGGATACTATAAAAACACACTCTTGCCTATTTTCCACAATAGTTCTATATTTGTTGACTAGTATCGGTCTTTACACCATTTTCAAAACTTACTAGATTACATTCAAATCTGAGTATTTATACCTACATTGCCTATATCTATCATAAACAATTTGATATCTACATCGTCTTTACCTAGGAAAACTTCAATTAATAACAGTCAATCGATAAACATAACTTTTTTGATAAAATGTAGGTTTTGGGAATTGGGTTATAGGTTCAGGAAAGGACTATTATTTATCTATCACGTAAGATTTGCCTACAAAATAAGGATGAAATAATTGAAGAAGTACAAAAAACGAGGAATTGTGGATTTATTTTTATTATTTTAACATGAAGTATAATCATAAAAAAACAATTCTACATAGCTAAACTAAGCATAATAATGATACACAAGTGTTTGCAAAATGATTATAAGTCTTTGTAAAAACGTTTTCTTTTTCCGTCAAAGCTTCTTTTGGTACTTTTTGGCTGTGTTCTTGTAAATTTTCCCTTTTTAACATCCAACAGTAGTCTGCCATCATGTTAACATTCTACCGACTTTGGTATCTGCGTTCCATTTCTTTTATGTCTTAATGGAACCGTTCTCCTTGTTCCTCACTTACAGCCTCTAGATTTTCGGGAAAGTAGTCGAGATGTGAGTGAAGGAAATGGACTTTGACACTCATGTTGCAGACCAACATTTTGTAGTTTTGTATCAATTCAGCAACCGAAGTTTTGTAGTTTGGGTCTTTTTTGTTTCCAAAAAAGCCTGTTATAACAAGTTTGAATGAATTCCAAGCATTTTTTTTCATTTCTATTTTAGTGAGAAAGCTTTCATCTTTTAGAAGTTTTCTTATGTCAGGCCCAACGAAGACTTCTTCTTTTAGTTTAGCATCGGGTAGACCAGGAAACTTTTCAGAAAGATACTTGAAACAATCTCTTTCTTTTTCTAATGCTTTCACAAACTGTTTCATTAGCCCCAATTTGATATGGAGTGGTGAAAGTAAGATTTTTTTAGGATCCATTAAACTTTGTTTTTCAACATTTTCAACTCCAGGAATATGACCCTTTCTGAATGGCCACACCTGCTTGACATAGTGTTGTTTCCTGTCATGGCTATCCCATTCACATAGGAAACATAGAAACTTAGTGTAACCACTTTGTTGACCTAGTAACATTGAAATATCTTTCAAGTCTCCACAAATGGTCCACTTATAATCAGAGTAGCTGAGCTTATTAAGAACAAATTCAAGATTTTTGTAGCATTCTTTCAAATGGTTCAACAGGCACAGAAGCATATTGGTTACCATTGTGAAGAAGTACAGCTTTCAAACTTCTTTTTGCTGAATCGATGAAAAGTCTCTATTTCTCTGGGTCATACGTTATGTTGAACATTTCCATGACGCCGGGTACATTGTTGCAGAAAATTAGGTCACCCTCTTGTGTAAAATAATCCCTTTTTCCAAATCGGTACCATGGAAATGGAACACCGGAGGCTAACATATGTCTTTCTTTAAGTCTAGACATAATTCAGACTCAATTTACCGCTTATATAGGCTATATAATACAGAAACATCGAACCTATACCGAACCTAAAAACCCATTTAATAAGAAAATTTCAGGTGAAATCTGTGACTTATCTATAGGTGATAGAATTTTTTCACTTTTTTTTCGTAATCTGCACATAAAATACTGTTGAAATCACCAGTTGAATATCCTACAATTTTTTTCATTGCAGACCTGTGTTATTTATGATAGGTATATAGGCAATGTAGGTATAAATACTCAGATTTGAATGTTATTTAGTTAGTTTTGAAAATGCTGTAATGACCGAAACTAGTCAACAAGTATAAAACTATCGTGGAAAAAAGACAAAAGTGTGTTTTTATAGTGTATACTCGCAAAATTCGATGCAACCTCTTTGATACATTTTTTTCGTTAGAAAAAAATCGCTGAACACGCAAATCACTTCTAACTTTTATGTCTCCTACCAACAAAATAAACATGCTAAACAGCTGAAACTGTGAACATACGTACGAGACGAGGGTACCAACATAAAAAATAAAAAATTGTTAATTGAATATACGTTGTCTGCGAAATTTGAACATTCACGTGGAGTGGAGTTTTTCATTCAAGCAGGAACTATACTAGAGTCTTGAAAAGTCACACGAAGAATGAATTGATCGAAACCGATATCACCGAAGTGAAGTACAAAGACTAACACAAGCAATAAGGTTGATCAACCAATAATCAACAAATCTGAATAACTTTTTGGGTTGGATATGAAAGCCATGATAGTAATATGCAGTAATTGAATTCAAGTAGATGAAAATAAGTATGTATTCTGTCTGTAACTCCTGTTTCTGTTATTATTAGCTTTATTCATTAATTGATTGATCACTCATTGTTTTTTAATGAAACGTAAAGTAAAAGTATTTACACACTTTTAATTCACAACATAGTCTCATCAGGAACAAGCTATATATGTCTATGTGTTAGAAATTAAAGGAACCCTAACACCATGGCTTCTGTGATTATTTTGTTATTTTCGATAGCACTCCATGTAATTTATATCAGTGTATGAGAAAATAAACATATCAATATTATTTTTATCAAGTTCTTTTTTGGTTCTTTTTTGGTTAAATTTTCGTGATCTTCGGATATTATAGAAAGTTTTTTTCTCATGTGTAAATTTTGAGTTTTCAAATTTCTTCAAAAGTTACCTAGCGTACAAATTTGAACCAGATTCCCTCACTATATACAGCAAAAGCTAGCCCAACTCTGATCCAAAACTAAATTCAGAATGAGAACTAGTTGAAAAACTTTTAGTTTTCAAGACATTCAAATACCTCAAAATTATTTTCATTAGTATTTGAATTTTTAATCTACTCACGCTACAGCTACGTCAAGTGAGTCCACATGATATTTTGGAATGTTATTTTCACATTTTAGGTTTTCCACTTCTCCCATTATTCCATATTTCCCATATTTTTCATCGTAACATTGTCTAATGCTTTGCTGCATTGTGGTTTGATCACTAAATTTTGATTCGATTTCTGGACAAGTCCACGGAATACAAATCCAGTGTCGAAGATGGTCATGCCTGTAGTTATACTTGTTGGAACTGACTTCCTGTAAATGAAGTGAATTGTTATTTTCCAAATTTCCTTTTGTTAAATCAGTACACAGCATGACCAATAAAGTCTGCAACATGGTGAATATTTTATTGATTTATATTGATTTTTGATGATGCTTAGTTCCTTTTCGAGACCTTCAACGGAATGGTTACTCCAAAGTGATGGTGCAACAAGCTTTAGCTAGAAGACAGCAAGAGCTCCACAAGGAAGAGAAGCCGCCACAACCAGTTCAGGTACTTCCCTACATCAGAGGATTGTCGGAAAGGATAAGAAGGATTGGATCCAAGTATAGCATCAGAACCTGTTTCAGATCTGGGAACACTATCCGTAGCAGCTTCACGAAAACCAGACCACCAAACGCGGACTGCGATTACAAGTATTGCATTTACCAGATACCCTGCGAGTGCAGAGAAACATACATCGGTGAAACTAAGAGGCCATTGAAAGTTCGCATTGCCGAGCATAAGAAACACACACAGCGAGAATAGCAAATCTGGAATAGCAGAGCATGTTTGGACTCATCAACATAACATCAAGTGGGCTCAAGCTGAAATCATCCACAAGGAGAAACACTGGTTTAGAAGAAATTTCAAAGAAGCCGCATATATGTTGTCCAACAACGCATTTAACCAAGCTAGCGTAGGGATACGTAACATACGGAAACCTCTAATCAAGCGGAACATGACCAACTCCCACCAAACGGTCAGCTCGCGCTAAAACCAATGGAGTCGAAGAAACGCAAGATCTGACGAAAACATCGCCTCTATCTTCAGCGATGGAGCCTATTTCTGGATGGATGGGTTCGTGAAAAAGCAAAATTGTCGGATTTTGGACGATACCAATTCACATAAGATTCCGGAAAAGTCACCGTTTGGTGTAGATTTTGGGCTGGCAGCGTCATCGGTCAATATTCCTTTGAGAACGACGTTAGCCAGGCTATCACTGTCAACGGCGAGCACTATAGGTCGATATTTACCAAATTGTTTTGACCGAAATTGAATGATATGGACCCCAACGATGTGATTTTAACAGGACGGCGCTACGTGCCACACAGCTAATGCCAAATTGAATATTCTGCACAATCGATTTGGGAGAATGATCATCTCACGTGGAGGTGATGAGAACTGGCCACCAAAATCGTGCGATTTAACCCCCTTAGACTTTTTCTTGTAGGGTTTTCTTAAGTCGCAAGTGTTTGCGAATAAGCCACAAACCACTGTATTTCAATGATTTTGTCATCTGAATCAGTGATTTGGAACATAATGGAAATTTTGACAATTTCTCTTTATAAAAAATTGTACCTTTGAAAAATGTGAGCTCTAACAGATGTATATGGTAAAAGTATCTATTTGCTCATCATACCGATCGTATTAGAATTAATCTTCTACTGCCTTTGTAAATATTGTTGCAAGTTAGACAAGTTCTTTCTGGTTAAATACATTCGACAATAATTACCTGGATGATCTTCCATATGTCAGTGTTATTATCATTTCGAGCTGTCATTTTATAGGTGAATGAACAATACAAAGCTTCTTCATCCAAAAGCATGCACTTGTCGTAATTATCCTGATGAAAAACTGGCGGCATAGAGGCATACTCTTTGTCTGAAAAATTCCTGGATACATCAAGAGGCACATGTTTTTGTAAAAAAAGATAATTTCACCCCAGTGATCGTCTCGATTAATTTAAAATTATATTATATTTGACGAAAGAGACCCCTGGTGCTTTTTTGGAAATGCACGTCGTGGTCAGTCAGTCTATCCGAGTGTCCGATCGTCCGTCCGTTTGTATGTTTGTCTGTCTATCTGCGTTAATAATCTTTCCAAAAGAAGAAGACATCAATTTGAAATTTCTGCAGTTTATGGGTTTTGATTGGTGATAGCCATCTATTCAGTTGCAAGATTTGATCTTTAAAGAAAAGTGACCAAATATGGAATAGTATCCCTAATATAGAATAACCTCCTTTCTCTCGAATGCAAACTCACACACGACAGTCATCGTTGTTTTGTTTTACCGCTTGTGCAGAATTTTCTAAAGTATGTGAAAAATACGTATTTTTGTATAAAAAGGGCACACAGTATTGTTTTTGTAGCTTTTAGAGATTAGGTTGGGTCCAAAGTGAGTGCGTCTAATCGACCCTCCACCGCAACCCGCAAGGGTTTATTGTGGCTCACATCTGTTTGAAATATGTTTTTCCGTTAATCAGCTGTCGCCCCCATACGAACAACAACTCTCAGAAGTTGAGAAACTTGTGCGAGCTAAGGACTAACGAGGTCTTGTCTTTTAACGTGTGATTCCTAACATGGTATATATTCACACTCTACCAAATAAACCCAGCTTCTTAACGAAGCCGATTAGTTTGTATAGTGAGTGGTCTTTCAGGTCAGATGGTAAGAGTCCGGCTCTGTTGAACTCTAAAAACCTGATTCGGTTTCCAGCGGGGCAGGCACAAAGTATATGCTCCACTGTTTCATCGTTGATGAGGTAGTCGAATAGTCAAGGTGCAAGATTACCATCTTGATACCCGTGACAGCCTTTCCATATGTATGAGGGTTTTTGCACGTCGGCTACACCTGATGATGCCTTAGATTCAACCGTACAGGGCTTTTTCGCCTCTGGTTTTGATGAATCATCACTTGAGCGCAAAAACGTTTGCTAACCTGCTCATGGGGGATTTGTTCCTCCTCCTGAGACATATTCTGCGTATGCCGCTCAAGAATTTAGTGCAAGGCGGTTTTATAAGGTACCCCGCTTTTGAGGAGAAGACTCACTCGTTTTCTGACTGCACCACCAAACTTTTTTTTCGATTCAGTTATTGGATTAGGAGTTGGAGAGTTGAGAAGCTTTCGCTTCCGAACTCAATTTACAGGGAGGTCAGTTGGAGTCGTAAACTTGACATCCATCTCCTCTGTAGACTCGCTCCTGATCTGAATTTACAGAGAGGTCAGTTGGAGTGGTAAGCTCTACATCCATTTCCTCTATAGACTCAGCATCAGGAAGAATTTTAGGGTTTACTCTGTCCATAAAAGTCCCACAAGTGATTCTGTCATTCCCGTATCCAGCAGGGCTACGTGGAAGCAGGCATCCGATGGCCGATTTGCTCAACCCCCACATCCCAAGCCAATGCACTAGCCTAAAACAGCATGCATAGTGGTTCAGGCAGTATCCAAATATGAACTATTCCATAATTGGTACTCAAGAGTATCAGCCGACTTGATAATTTTGTGAATTATATTCTTTTCTTGTTTTATTAGAATAGCGGGCGTCAACTCGTAAATAAATCGAAAAAAATTGAATTCAGAACATATGGCTGAAGCTATAAAATTAGTAAGAGAGAAAAAAATGGGCTATTTGAGAGCTTGAAAGCACTTTGATGTACCAAAGTGTACCTTGTTTCGTTTATGTCAGAGAAACGATTTTTCTCCGGAAGAATGCGCAGCTACTACATTCGGAAGAAAAACTGTCTTAGAGACAACACTTGAAAATCTTTTGGTAGACTACAATTTGACGCTGGAGAGTAAATTTCATGGCTTGTAAAAATTAAGAGATTTCAAGCCAAGTTACTTCACAAAGTTTCGATTGCTAGTATCCACAATCATCTTCGGTTGATGACTGGATTAATTCCTCCGAGAGATGATTATGTATGGCTCATTCTAGTACTTTCACTTAGGTAATAGACTCTATTTGACCATGCCTTCGGGCTCTGTAATACGTAGGAAGGTCTCGAGAAGGAAATAGATAACATCAAAAAAAGATCTTCAACGGTATGACTACTCCAAAGCGATGCTGGACAGACTTCGACTAAAAGACAGCAAGAGCCTCGCAAGGAACAGAAGCCGTCACGACCAGTGCCTGCACTTCCCTACATCAGAGGATTATCGTAAAGGATAAGAAGAATTGGGTCCAAATACAACATCAGAACCTGATTCAGATCCGGAAACATTATCCGTAGCAGCCTCACGAAAACCAGGCCACCAAAGGCGGACTGCGATTCAGTGATACTATGAGGCCATTGAAAGTTCGCATTGCCGAGCACAAGAAACACACACAGCGAGGAGAATAGCAGAACATGTTTGGACTCATCAACATAACATCAAGTGGGCTCAAGCTGAAATCATCCACTAGAAGAAACACTGGTTTAGAAGAAATTTCAAAGAAGCCGCATATATGTTGTCCAACAACGCAGGTAGCCAAGTTAGCGTAGAGATACGTAGCATATGGAAACCTCTTATCAAGCGAAACCACCAAATCAAATCTCGCCACTTGCGAGAAGCAATACGAAGAAAACGTCTGGTAATATGAAAAAATAATTCATGGCTTTTACATAACGATAATGCACCTGCTTACTCGTCATTCCTTCTTCGTAAGAGTTTGGCCAACAACAACACCATATTGATAGCTCAGTCACCGTATTCACTAGATTTGCCCCCCAGCAGCTTTACCTGCTCCCAAGTTCGAAGAGACACATGAAAGAACGACGTTTTGCGACGATTGAGAAGATAAAATCCGAATCGCTGAGGAATCTCAAGGACATACCAAAAATTGCATGCCAGAATTGCTTTGAATAACTGAGGGGAACTGTTTTGTAGTAGACGAAATAGGAATTGTTGAATAAATAATTATTTTTGGGGTAAACGAAAATTCACTTTATTTTTTGAACAGGCAGGGTAAACAATGATGATCTGAAATTTATTTTGACTGATGTTTTGAAGAAGAAAAACTGGGCTGTTAGGCCGTGATCGAATGAAGCCTGTGCGTTAACTGCGACTTCTCTACGAGAGTTGAGACTGACTGTTTATGAACAGAATCAAAATCATGCCTACTTTCAATTTGAACTCGAAATTTTCATTTTATTTCATGTAAAGTCATATCATCTTCAATTTTTTTGGCAGGTCATAGTAGGCCGCTTTGTGATAACTCTAACCTCTCTATAAATATGTGGAGAGGTCTAAAAGATTTTCATTTGCAATTACAAACAATCACTTCATACATGATCTTTGGTCTAACAATCATCACATATATACGGTGGATTTGTTTGGGGCATGAGCCCCAGATCTTTCGCAAGCTAAGGGCTAACAAGGTAAGACCTCGTTAGCCCTTAGCTCGCACAAGTTTCTCAACTTCTGAGAGATGTCGTTCGTATGGGGGCGACAGCTGATTAACGGAAAAACAGATTTTAAACAGATTTGTTGAACAGATATGGTAAGGCTTTTTGTAAAACATGTTTCAAATGAGTGTCCTAGATGTGTTTTTTATCGAAGATAATAACTTTCGCTGCAACTAGAATAACCTCACCACTTAACGAAAGTGTAGTTGAAATAGCCATCTTGAAAAGTTGTAGTTTTGTACATAAATATGGCGTATATATTTGTACTAAAGTAAACACTGTTGGTTTAGGCTTTGAATCTACTAGAACAGAAGTTGTATACGTCACCTGTATGAACCCTACCTTCAATTTCGATCATTTCTGCGAGCCGTTTCAGCGTGCCTTTAGCCACTACAATCACTAAATTATGTGCGCCAGTCAGGAGCGTAGTGCAATCTGCGTTCCCTAAAAATCAGTTCTGGCAGGAGTACAACAGAACCTCAGCATTATACTTGTGGTTCTGATTCGAGCAGTTCTGGTCAATATTGGTATTTCCTATCGAGAGTTAGCACGTGTGAATAAAAAAAAAACTCAGTAACACAATTTTGTTATGAGTCTTCATTACACCCCGTTGTCGCTGCCTCAAAAAAGGTGTACACTGCGACGGGAGGGCACAGGACGGGAGCATGACGTGAAGTTTGGTTTATCTTTCTATAGTTCCTAATGGAGGGGCGCGCAGTAAGGCAGGCTACGGAGAAGCACGTGCTAGGACGGGCCAGGCATATGCCATGCTGTCCCCGCTCGAGCAGCGAAAACTTCATTCCTTCAGCTGTCTGTCTGGATTATCGCTATAAAAACATGGAGAATTTCAAAGAAAAATTGATATGTGCTATCCAACAATACCCCGTGTTGTTTGATTTGTCCAATGAATTATATTACGATGTGAATAAAAATGCTTGGCAGGAGGTAGGAGAAAAATAGAAACAACTAGTAAGAATTATATCATACTATTTAATTAATCAGTAAGTACAAAATACATCTCATTATGAACAACTTCAAAAGTATAACACAATAGTATAACACAATAGAAACACATAAAAGAAGCCTGGAACCATTGTCAGTGGTCTGACTATATATGTCATGATCAGACAGGGAAGTTTTCGTAGACAACACTAGTATGGAGCTATATAACACGGGAGGGCAAATAAGAATAGAAACCTTGCAGGAGGGTAGAGGATCATGTAGCGGCATTACGCCCTGCAGTAGTGTGCGAAGGAGGCAAATCACAGACCACGTCCCGTCTTTTTCATCTCCTCTTCCGTCCTGTCCCCCTCTCTATGTCCCTTCCCGGGTTGAGTGCCTTGAGTCGAAATCTTCTCCAGACGTTTAGTGTGTGCTTAAATTCCAATCTCGTCCATTCACCCCCGCTCCTCCGGAGCGGTTCTCAACTTACTGAAGAGCACTTCATCTATTTGACATCTGATCTTCTTTGGTCGAAAGTTAGTCTCTAGGTGA